ATGAAGAGCTGGGGGTGCCTGGCTAGTAGGTAGCAGCAGAACGGAATGGAACCCGAGGGTGTTGGACTAGGGAGGGCAGGCTGTGAAGTTGAAGATGATGGATGTGAGGACAGTCTCTAATGAGTCAGGATTTAACATCTTGTCAGCAGTACCTGCAGCCAGTCCTATTACCCTGCTGGAATGTCTCCTTGAGAAAACTGAAACATTATCAAGGCTTTGTAAAATTTGTTCACTGAGCCCCGTAGTGTATCATAAATACCACATTTCCTTTATAAAAATTTGCTCTAGTTTCTTATAATAGCAAAAAATAAGGACAACATATAGTATAATATAGATGTTCATCCAACGCAGAAATAGTTTAATAAAATATTTGTATGGACAGTACTGGAAAGTTACTTGTTTTATTGTTTAAAGGTGAAATAAGCACGTTGTTTTCTGGTCCTCCTTACCTTTCTCTCCCTGACCTCATGAGCATGCAAAAATGTCTGGGAGGGTGTCTATGAAACTGTTCTCACTGGTTATTAAAAGTAGGAACTGAATTAAAAGTAGAAAAAGATGACTTTCAATCTCTGTTCTTCAGTAAACAAATGAAAGTGAAGAAAATTTGGTGAAATCATTTTGGTTGTTGTTTTTTCCCATTTCCAAATTTTGTATAACAAATACATATTCTTTTCATAGTAAAAAGAAAAACAGAACTATTGATAACACTACTGAGATCAATGCTTTTGTATTTCACATGCTCTTAATATAATTGTAATATGTGGTATCTTCTTGAGGGCAGTTTGGCGTTACTGTTACTTTCATTTTGATTAACTTTAATAGAGAAATACTTGCCACAGCTGAATGTTGAACACAGACTAACAGTCATAACTGGGAAGATTCAGGACTAATTCAGGACCAATTTTGATTGAATTGCTTTTCCTTTTCCAAGTAGAAATTGTTAAACAAGAGACTCACATCTTCATTAACTTGAGAAATAAAAATGTTACTGAACTTGGTTTTAGGAGTCTTAAGTTTAAGATTCTGAAATTTGCTCATAAATATAATGCAAAATAGTTAATGTTTAAGTCAGTTGTATTTAGGACAAAACCATTTTTCTCAAAGCAATATTTATCTTGGTGAAGAAAAACTGCAGTCTCTACAACCATGATTCATGAGTTTGGTCATTCTCTTGTAGGTGATTTCTGATATAGGCCTCAGTGGAAGAATGTTGATTGCTCCTCCTCTCACAATCTTCCTTCCCATGCCTTCTGTTCAAGACTCAAAAGTGAGAAATTTCAACTTTTCTTCTGATTCCAAAGTTCAGATTGAAGACTGAGAGAGAGGGGTCACACTTTAGAGAAAAGCTTCATTTCTCAGTCCCTTGTAAAGCTATGGAATTGTTGGCTTCAGGTCCATGCTTGCTGATACCTTGAAATGTTTTGGGATTGCCATTGTAAATTTGGAATCATGCATTTCCAACTGTGACGTATCAGAGAAAAAAAATCCTGAATCAAAACACTGTCGCCCTAATGCTTTGAGTATTCTCAGCAATTAAGTCTAGCAGTGTATCTAGGTGATCCAGCAAACTGTTTTAGGAAAACAGCTCCCCTCTGGAAACACAGCTTAACTGGGGTCCATTTGGCCTTTGTTTCTCACAAGAGCCATCATTTCGTAGCTGGGTTCTGGTGAGGTTAAGAGCAAGTAAAGAGAGAACGATGAAAGCCTTCTCAAATTCAGCAGTTGTCAAACTTGCTGCTCATTGAAATCACCTGGGAGTTAAAAATACACTGATTCTCTGAGTACCACCTCCAGAGATATTTGTATACCTGGGGTGGGAGGCAGCACCAGCAGTGGAGGTTTTAAAAGCTCTCCAGGTGATTCTAATATGCAGCCAAGGCTGAGACCCATGCTGGCTTACAGGACTGATATAATTAAGATACATTCTACAGTATCTTTTAAATTGACAATTTGAATTCCAGAGACATAGACAACTTGGTGCTTGAGTGTCATTCTGATCCCTTCTTAGGCTCACTGGTTTTCTAGGGTCATTTTAAGGCCTTCATATCCCAGAGACTTTCATGCTATTGGTGTTTCCACCCTACCTCACATTACATTAAAATACAGCCGCATCCCACATTTGCTATAACTGATACATAATTACATGAGTCAAATTGTAGTTTGAATAGTTAGTTTAAAAAATGTTGTGGTCATCTGGGTTCTTTGTGGCCAGGTCTCAAACATTACTGTAAATCCTTGTAGTTTCTTGGCATCGATGAATAACAGAGCCAAAGCCCTTAGTACGTCTCCCTAAGAGCACAGGTGGAGAACAGAGAAGTGAATCTTGCCTACCTGCACTGCCCCCACGCAGCACAATGCATTTGCGCCGAGTCTGAATCTTTGAGCAGGTCCCCAGCCTAGTGTCAGGTACTGGGCACATTCAGAGCCCTAAGCTATCAGACTTAGCTGGTGGCAACATGGATGAAGATAATAGCCTTGCCTTTGCCAGCTCACTTGTGGACACCAGAGTTCTTTGCTGCAAAGCTGGCCCAGCAGCTATTTACAGAACTCTGTAACATGCCTGGGCAGGGCCAGTAACTGGCTCTCATCGCTTGCCAGTCAGTGAAGACAGTACAACTTCCATCAAAACAGCTGTGAGGCACATCGCCCAGCATCCAGCCCTGGTCAGTCAGTCAGGGCAGACCACTGGCCAAGAAAGCACCATCTGAGGGTACAGCCCGTACAAACCTGTACCTGATCATCATTTAAACCTACTTTTAACCATGCAGATGTGCTGGAGAACAGACAATTTACTGGAAAATACAAAACCCCAAAGTTAACAAGTTTATGAAGAGATACTCAAAATCATGAGTAAACAGAGAAAAAGGCAAATTAAAAATATAAGGTAACCCTTCATACCAGAGATTCCCAGTCCTGGCTGTGCTTTAGAATCACCTGAAATATTTGGGGAAGAAACTCCAATACCCAGGCCCTACCATAAGAGACCCAGACCTAAATGTTCTGGGCGGGGTTTGGGCATTGGTTTTATTTACAAGTTCCCGAGATGTTTCCCCAAATATTGCATAGCCAGAATGAAAGGCCGATTTCACTGGCAATAAGTACAAAGCTGGTCCGTGCTGGCGAGGGTGAGAGTGGTTCTAGAGAGCATCTGGCACGGCTTGGACAAATTAAGTACATGCAGACCTCTGCATCAGCAGTTCTACTCCTAGGGACATTTTCATGTCAAAGAAAATTTTTCTTGGCTCCATCAAGGGACTCATACAAGGTATTTTTTGCAACATTATTTGTAGTGACCAGAAGTTGGAGACAACCTGAATGACCACCCGGGAGAGCAGATATTTCGATGGAGTGGCTGCACGAAGAGCAGTTAAATTAATGTTCCGAGTGCGCTGTTAATGGGTCTTAAAAGCATAGCAAAAACAGGAAGAATCTAAAACAATCAAACTCATTTTGCAAAACCACTCATAAAAAAACACATTAAACATATAAGGTGGAGGAGAATGGGATCAAGATGTAGAGATGAAGGTGAATAAAATGAGAGCCATGCAGAGACCGATGGTGATGTTATGTTGTGAACTGATAAGTAAGATTAACCCAACCCTCTGCACCTACATTAAAATAAAATAAAGTCAAATAAAATAGAAATGTAGGGACAGCAGGGAGGTGTAAGGAAAGCGAAGGCACTGAGAAGGGAGCGCACAAGGAGATCCGACTGTACAGTCCAGTTTCAGGTTCAATGCTGGATGCACATTTGGAAGGAGACGAGAAGCAAGAGTGAGCAGTTCAAGTCAGCATTCATTTGTGCATAACTGAAAACCTGACCCCGGCTCGGAGGTGGAATTTAGGTGGAAGGAAATGCAGAGAAGCTGAGGCTTTCGGGGAAGTCCGTGTTGGGCTGGTCTCCGTGTACTGAGGAGATGGGCTTGAATGGCTGAAAGATACGTGCTGTAGGAGAAGGGGGGTCATGAGAAACACAGGTGAACAGTTGAGACCACTGGGCTTCGAAAGCTAGACAGGAGGAGTCAGAACTCCATCTACCAGGAAATGGACAGCTGTTATTGAAGTCGGACCACGACAAAGATCAGGAAGGAACATACTAGGTAACTGGGGATAGAGAGACTGTCAGCAGGGAGGCGCTGGGGGCTGCTGCGGGAGACACTGGGTTTTTACAGGATCTGGAGAACCGGCTAGATTGAAAAGATTGTAAAAATTGTTGCCAGTGTTTCAGGAATTTGTGACATTATTTTAATATGAAAATATTATGCTATTTTAAAATATGAGGCAGCATGGTGTCGTGGTTAAAAGAATGGACTCTGAAGTCAGACTGCTTAGGTATATACTTTGGTTCCACCTCTTCCTAGTTGTGTGACCCCCAACCTGCTCCTTAACTTCTCTGTGCCTCAGAAATGGTGCCTTGGCTGTAAAATCAGGAAGATACCTGCTAGGATTGTTCTGAGAATTAAATGAGCTAATGTTCATAAGGTGCTTAGAGCAATTGCCTAGGACTTACTAAGTTCTATTTAAGTGTTTGTTAAATGTAAGTAAAGAATTCTCCTTTCCTAGGTTTGGGATGCAGATGCCTTTTCTTCCTACTTAATGGCTTCTCTGATGGAGAGATGTCAATCTCTTAGCATCATGGGATAGGGATGGCTTTGTGGTCTCCATTTTGGATCCAGGGGCTGGAAGCCACTAAGAGACTGAGTCTTATTCCAGAACTGACAATCTGAACACCCAAACTTGTGGTAACTCTGGATTTTCATCTCTCCACAGCTCCTCCCTTAATCCCTGGAGCAAGACTTTTTGTGTGGCTGACCTGGATTTTATGCCAACTGCACACACCCAGAGAAAGTGTGAAGCTCTGCCCACTGAGACACAAGACATCTCTGGTCAGTGGGGACTGGGAGACCCCTGATGGCTCCATGGGTGGCATGGAATTTGAGTGAGGCAGCACCTGTACAGGGCCTGGCACACAGAGAAGGGAAGGCATGACCTGGGGTCATTCAACACTGAGCCTGGTGAGGAACACTTTCTAATTTTAATTGTATTAATTTTCACATGTTACTTAAGCCTAACTGGTTGTCAAAAATGAGAGAGAGGGAAAAATCCTCCATTATACTTTCTGTCCTTGTGGACATTAGATGTTTATACTTTCCTTTCATCTTTGTGTAATTTCCTAATTTTTTTAGCTAAGAGAGAATGGTGGGGGGAAAAAGGGTTTCCCTATCATTCTTTTTCTTGAGGAGCTCAAATTTTGGAGGGAAGGAGAGATGGGAATATAGCTACAAGTCGCTGATTTGAGAGCCATTTAGAGGCAAGGCTGAAGGGACAGAGCAAGCAGATGGCAGGGGAGGCTGTGTTGGAGGCCATGTGGGTCAGCTGCACCTAAGGGGTGGCAATCAGCCCAAATTTTGAAATAAGAATAGTTTCAGAAAACTGAGGCTCAGTTTCTCCCTGGTTGTGTGACTTTGGGCAAGTTACTTACACTTCAGAAGCTCAGTTTTCTTTTGAGTGAAATGGGGTCACAAGTACCGCCTGCTTGTGGATGTAGTCATGAGGATTAGAAGGTAAAATGCTTATGAAGTGCTCAACATGGGCCTGGCATAGAATGAAGCTTAGTAAATACTTGCTGGATGTGTGAATAAATGAATGGATTAGAGTGCGTTGGTGCAAAGTCCTGAAAGGTCATGGCAAAGCAGGCAGTACGGCGTCACTGCCTAATTGTTGTCTAGTTAGTTGACTCCTACCCAGTACCTTTAATTTAAAGATACAAATCATGATTTAAGAATGTGTGTAAATCAAACCATTATGCTACACCTTAAACATACACAGTGTTGTGTATCAATTATATCTTAATAAAACTGGAAGAAAAAAGAAATGCAAATTTTAAAAATGGGCAAAGGATTTGAATAAGCATTTCTCTGCAGAAGACATACAAAGGGTCAACAAGCACATGGAAAAGTGCTCAACATCACTAGTTATCAAGGAAATATAAATGAAACACAGTGAGCTATTACCTCATCTCTGTTAGAATGGCTGTTATCAAAGACAAGCAATGACAGAAGGCTGGCAAGGATGTGGAGAAAAGGGAACCCTGATGAACCGTTGTAGGAATGTAAAGTGGTTACAGCCATTATGGAAAACAGTATAGAAAATCCTCCAAAAATCTTAAAATTAAAAATAGAACAGCTGTATGCTCCAGCAGTTTTACTTCTACGTGTATGCCCTAAGGAAATAAGATCACTATCTCAAAGAGATATCTGCAGTCCTGTATTCACTGCAGCCTTATTCACCATAGCTAAGATATAGAAACAACAAATGCCCATCGATGGGTGAATGGATGAAGAAGATTGTATGTGTGTGTATATATATATACACAATAGAATATTCAGCCATTAAAAAAGAGGGAAATCCTGCCATTTGTAACAACATGGGTAGGCCTTGCAGACATTATGCAAAATGAAATAAATCAGACGGAGAAAGGCACATACTGTCTGATTTCACTTATATGTAGAATGTAAAGATTTCAAACTCATGGAAACAGAGTAGAATGGTGGTTGCCAGGGGCTGAGGGTAGAAGAAATGGAGAGATGTTGGTCAAAGGGTAAAAACTTTCAGTTATAAGATGCATAAGTTTTGGGGACCTTGTGTACAGCATAGTGACTCTAGTTAATAATATTGTATTGTATGCTTGGAAGATGCTGTGCAAGTAGACCTTCAGCGTTCTCACCACCACCACCCCAATAACACCACCACCAAAATAGTAATTATGGGAGGTGAAGAATGTGTTAACTAACCTTTTTGTGGTAAACATTTCACAATATATACATGTGTCAAATCATCGCATTGTATACCTTAAATGTATACAATATTATATGTCAATTTTATCTCAATAAAGTTGGGAAAAAAGAGACACACACACAAAAGATTATTTTTTTCATTGAACAGTTATTAAGTTCTTGTCCTGGGCACTGTACCAGATGATGGATTGAAAACTAAACTTACCCCCATGAATTGTTTGAAGACTAAAATACGACATTTGTAAAAATAACAGTAGAATTCTTTTATATTTATATATGAAAATCACAAGGAAAACCTGACCTTCATCTCTTCACTTAAGGGTAAAAATTAAAGAATGCTAAAATTGTTTGTTGTCCTGTATTCAAGTGCTTTTTTATTTTATGAATAAACATTGGGATCTTTTGCCTTAATCAGTTTTGGTGCAAGTTTAGGTGCTGTAGTCAGTGAGCCTCAGTCAATTCTGGAAGATGTTGAGTGTGAGCTGCAGAACTCCTAGTTGCTTTAAAGGCATGAGCTATTAAGGAAAGAGTTACTCACTGAGAGAGAATAACTTTCAATAAAGTTACCCTTAGAGGTTCTGCTAAGAAATGGACCATGAACGACCCAGCCACAGACATATATGGGGAGACCTGAGTCTCAGGATCAGATTGCTGGTGTTCAAGTTCCAAATCTACAACCTAGTTGCTGTGTACCTTAAGTAAATTATTCAGCCTCTCTGAAGTTCAGTTTTCTTTTTGTCTCTTTCTGTCTTTTTAACCTGTAAAATACATCGCAGGCAAGTGGAACTCTTCTGTGTGTGTGTTTTTTCGGTAAGTCCTTATTAGGGGCTCACCATGGGCAAAGCACTGTGCCAGGTGCTAGGGAATATAGCGATGATAACAACTGCAGTCTCTGTCCTTGTGGAAATTTAAGTCTAACAGGGACAATAGATACTAAACAAATAAAAACACTATCTAGGTATCTAGCTAGCTAGCTAGCTAGCTACCAACAATGGTGAGTACTAAGAAAGAGCACAGTGCTGGGAAGATTCTAAAAGCAGAGGAATAAATTTAAATTGGACATGAGATTTAAACTGAAACCCGAAGGGTGGTGTATTTGTTTTCTATGGCTGCTGTAAGAAATACCCAAAACTTTGTGGTTTAAAAAAGCACAAATCCTACAGTTCAGAAGGTCAGAATTCCAGCGTGGGTCTCCCGTGGGTTAAAATCGAGATATTCTGGAGGCCTTAGGGGAGAACTGGTTTTCTTGCTTTACCCAGCTTCTAGTCTACCCACATTCCTTGACTTGTGGCCCCCTTCCTCCTCTTCAGAGCCACCAGAATTGTATTTCTCTGACCATTATTTCCATTGTCACATCTCTTTCTTTGATTAACTTCTGTCTTTTGCTTCTGGTTTTGAAGACCCTGTGATTACATTGAACTCACTTGGATAATCTCCCTATTTTAAGGTTAGCTGATTATAGCCACCTCAGTTGCATCCATAACCTTAATCCCTCTTTGCTCATGTAACCTAACATATCCATGGGAATTAGGATGTGGACATTTTTGGTTGGTCATTATTTTGTCTGCCACGGATCGGTAGAAATGAGCCTGGGGAAGGGGGTTAGGGGTGGCGGATGACTTTCCAAGGAGGACACAGGTGGACAGAGATCTTGAGACAGTCTTCCATTAAATTAATGAAAAAGAAGAACATGTTTGAAGGGTGGAGAAAGTGGGGAATAGTGATGCAAGCAAA